CAGCGTCCGATTTCTCCCTCTCGAGATCGTCTCGAAGCGATCCGAGTTCCTTGGATTCCTTGGATTCGTGAGATTCGTCGCGTGCCTTCTTCAATTCTTCGACCCATTGCTTCCACTGCGGGATCTCCTCGATGTTTTCGTGGTTCGCCTTCAGCCTGATCTCGGTTTCCTTGGCGGCCGCCAGATCGCGGGACGTCCGTCGCAGTTCGTCTTTCGTCTTTTCTAGAAGGACGGAAAGTTCGGCACTCCGGTCGTCCACGCATTCTTCGCGCGCTTTCGAGAGGTCCGTTTGCAATGCGGCTATCTCGTCTTTGAGAGCGGTCGCCTCGCGTTAGCGAGCTGCACCCCCAATCCTTTTATCTTCCGTCCGTCACGTTCCTTCCCTTCTTTGAGGACGGCGATCTCGTCTTCGAGACCGGCCGCCTCTCGAATCTACTTCGCGATCGTAGCGTCCAACTCTTTCATCCTCTTCACGTTTCTTTCAATCTCTTCTTTGTAGGCCGTCATTTGATCGTCCGTCTTACTTCCGTTCCGTTTCATTTTCTCTTCCAGGGTGTCGATCTCGTTCCGCAAGTCGATAGCCGTACGATCTTTATCGGAAAGCTGCTTTTCCATCCTCCTACTCTCCTTCTCGTTCTCATCCTTCAGGGCGGTTAATTTTTCGACATCCTTGATTAGCGAAGACTCCTTTCGGGTGGCCTCGGCCAGCTTTTCCTTAAGATCGGCAATCTCAGTTCGGAGAATGTCGGTCCTGTCGGAGTGATCGGCCTTGGCTGTTTCCAGATCTGATATCGCCTTCGCCTTGTCGGACTCGACGGAAGAACGAAACTCGCGAAGGTTCGCTTCGTGATTCTTCTCCGTTACGTCCAACCACTCCTTCAGACTCTCGACCTCCCTTTCGCTCTCTTCCAACTTCTTCGCCGACCGTCGTTCCCTGTCTTTGGCAGTCTCCAATACGCGAGTCGCCAGTCGCAGATCCTCTTTGATCTTTTCGAGAATTGCCGAACGTCGGGCGTCGCCGTCGCTGCGTTCCTTGGAAGCCGTTGCCACCTTTTCCCTTTCGGCACGAAGTTCGTCTCTGAGGGAGGCGATCTCCTTGTTCGCGTTGGCAGTCGAGCGACCTTTTTCATCCAGCCGTTCCTTCAGACTGTCCACCTGCTTCTCGGTCTCTTCCAGCTTCGTTGCCGACCGTCGTTGGAGGTCCTTTGCAGCCGCCGCTTCCCGGTTCGCCAGTCGCAATTCGTCTTTTATCTTCTCGAGCGTCACCGAACTTCGGGCGTCGTCGTCGCTGCGTTCCTTGTCGTCGCTGTTGCCACCTTGTCCTTTTCGGCACGAAGTTCGTCTCTGAGAGTGGCGATTTCCTTCTTCAG